GGGACCTTGTGTATGTCTCTATGTATGTCTCTGTGCATGTGTCTGTGTCTGTGTCTGTGTGTGTGTGTGTGTGTGTGTCGTTACAGTATCTGACCGGGCCCTGACGCTGGCCAGGGGCTGCTAACCCAGCCCCGACGGAAAGACCGCCTAAGCACTCTCCCCCTTGCGGTGGGAGAAGGGCGTGAGGGGCCGCTACCCCCTCCTGCTCGACGCAGAGCTGGCTGCGTCATACACCCCATATACGGGTGTACGGCGCAGCGGCTCCCCAAAGGCTTGAGCTCACAGCCTGCCTTATACGGCAGCTGGGCCCTTCGTCCGCACAAACAGCAGTCGCGCAGTGTGTGTGTGTGCACGTGTCTCTGCGTGTCTCGGCTGCACGTCGTCTGTCAGCCCTCGACCCTCTGACCCTCTGACCCTCTGACTCATCATCCCCCCCCCGCAGATGATCACGTGGATAATCCGTACGGCAGGGCTGCCGCAGGTGCGAGGGGGGGGGGCAGACCACATGACCACTACTACTAGATCGTATCTCGGGGTTTGTCGGCCTCTTTGCTCTTTCGGACTGTTGTACTCTACCCTCCCACCCACCCCCTTTCGTCCCCCCCCTCCTCCCGGGGTCCGTTCGCTAACGCCGTCTCCGTCTCCGCTGCGGTATCTTTTTTTACCCCCTCCTCCCCCCGTCCTCTCCCCTCACATCCACCCCCCAAAACACACACATACACACACACGCACACACACGCACACACTCACGCAGGAGCTGGTCATCCGAATGGACGAGAACGTATCCCGATTGACGGATGCCGTATCCGCCTGTGAGCGCATCCTCAACACCCCCATACCCCTGTCGTACACCCGCCACACGGCCCGCTTCCTCATGGCCTGGCTGGTCTGTCTGCCCTTCAGCCTTTGGAGCTACTGCGGACCAGCGATGGTGGGTGCGGGGTTTTAGGGTTGTTTTAGGGTTTTGCGGTGGCGATAGGGGTAGGGGTAGCGGACCGGCGATGGTGGAGGTAGGGGTGGAGGCGTGGCTGGAGTTCGGTGGGTCTTGGGGGGAGGAGGGGGTGGAGGAGGGGGGTGTGGGGGTTGCGGTAGCGGTATCGGGGCAGCGGCGGCAAGTCAGTCAGTCAGCCGGTGTCTTTGAAATGTGTCCTCTAACCCTTCTCCTGACAAACCTCCTCCCCCCCCCGACACAAACACACCCCCACATGCAACATACACACACGCAATACACACGCTCCCCCCTCCCCCCCTGCCTCCCGCAGATCCCCATCGCCGCCCTGGTGGCGTTCGTACTTTTGGGCATTGAAGAGATCGGAGTGTACATCGAGGTGAGGGGGTGGGGGTGAGGTGGGGTGTCGCCGGGGGGAGTTTGAAGAGTGAATTTGCAAGAAAGAAACAAAAGGCCCTGCGGACGTTGTAGTCTGAAGATCGACTGGATCTTCAGGGCCGGGGGGGAGGGGCCCTTGGGGGTTGAGCTGGGCTCAGGGCTCAGGGGGCGTGTGTCCGTGTCCGTGTGTCCGTCACATAGCCCGTCTGAATGGTCTCTTTCCACCCAACCCAACCCAACCCAACCCAACCCAACCCAACCCAACCCAACCCAACCCAATCCACCACCCAACCCAACCCAACCCAACCCGACCAGCACCATTGACACCACGCCACCCCCTCCCGCTCCTCCATCGCCATCTCGGGCGCCCCCCCCCTTCGTCTCCCCCTTCCCACCCATCCCCGCTCCAACACCGCCCCCACCACAACCCACCCCAGGAGCCCTTCAGGTGAGAATCAGCTTAGAACAATCCAGAATCCATTTAGAATCCATTTAGAATCCAGGATCCAGGATTCAACATGAGCTTGGTGGTGGTGGTGGTGGTGGGCAGGGGCAGGAGGGGAGGGGCGGGAGGGGAGGGAAGGAGAGGGGGTCAGAGACTCCGAAGTCAGGTCTCCCACCCGACCATCTTGTGTTTACCCCCCTTAAAGGTCTGGAAGGAATGCACCAAAGGGGGGCCGCGGGTGGGAGGGGGGAAGGGAGGGAGGGAGGGGGTGGAACGAGTGCCTTAAGGAGGCTTGGAGGTGGTGGTGGTGGTGGGGTGTGTGTGGTGGTGGTGGTGGTGGGGGGGGGGGCGGGATGGGTGCCTTATGGGGCTGATGGGTGGTTGGGTGGTTGGGACGACCCGTCGGATTGTCTCCACGGAAGGCGCCGAGGTGCTCGTGCCGGCATCCGACGGGATTCCCGCCTTTGAAAGGACAAAACCCGGCAGGCGGTATCTGAGGGGTTAGGGGGCGGGCGGGGAAAGCACCCGGGGGCGCTAAAACCCAAACCCCTGTGCCGTACAGAAACACGCACGCGCCCCCCCCCCGCCCCCACACGCTCTTTTCCTGTATGGTACGAACCGCTGCCTCCCTCCTGCCCTGTGTGTTCGTGTGTGTGTGTGTGTGTGTGTTTGTGCGTGTGTGTGCGCATGCATGCATCCGTACGGTGCCGTATGTACCACCTGTACGACAATGTACAGCATCCTGGCGCTCGAGAAGCTGGTCAACAAGTTGGAGAACATCGTCAACGCAATGTTGCGGGAGAGCAAGGTGGGCGAGTGGACTTCTCCACCCCCCCGGGTGTGGGAGGGGGGAGGGGATGGGGGGTTTGGAGGAGGAAGGGTTGGGGGAGGAGAGAGCTATGCGGGAGCTATAGAACAATACCGTTGAAGCTGGAGCTCCGGGGTTCGGGGCTCGGGGCTCGGGGCTCGGGGCTCGGGGTTGAAGTCAATCGGTTCCAGACCCCCCCCCAGCCCCACCCCCACTGCCAATGGGTGGGTGCGGAGTGCGGCTCAAGGTGGGCCAGGAGGCCCGCAGGGGCCACGTGTACGACACACAGTCGTACACAGTCTACACACCTCCAACCCCGCTGGAGATGGCTGCGCCCGCCCCCTCTCCCATCAGAGGATCACCCACCCACTTACTCACTCACCCACCCACCTACTCACTCACCCACCCACCCACCCACTCACCCACTCACCCACCCACCCACCTACTCACCCACCCACCCACCTACTCACTCACCCACCCACCCACCCACTCACCCACCCACCCACCTACTCACCCACCCACCCACCCACTCACCCCCACTCTGATACCTTCTCATTCATCAACGCCCACGCCCCCCACACCACCGTTCCCTTCCCTCTCCCTCCCTCTCATTTTTATATAAAGGAGCTTATCACTCCCTGACTCCCTCTCCCTCCCTCTCCCTCCCACCCTCTCCATCTCCCTCCCTCTCTCCCTCCCTCTCTCCCCACCGCCACAATCTGCAGGATTTGGGGCGACTGTCCCGTCCCTTCGGCTTCAGCCCCGACCACGACGCAGCGGCGGCGACGGCGGCGGCGGCGGGGACGGAATCATAGAAGCGGCGGCGGCGTCCGTCACGGCGGCGGCCGCCCTGTGAAGACGCCAGAGCCCAGTCGCACCTTGCGGGGTTTTAGGGTTTTTAGGGTTTTCAGCCCGGCGGCGGCTGCAGCGGTGGCCCCCCATTTGCGGCCGTCTCCCGCGGGCTGTGGATAGGAGAAAATCGCGGGGTGGGGAGGCGAGGGCGTACTGCAGCAGGGACGTACGACAGCATCATCATCAGCAGCAGCGGTCCAGGCGTCTGGGAACGGCAGGGGCTATGCAGGGTGGCTGCAGCTAGCTTGAGGGGGGGAAGAGGCGGAGGGGAGCGCGCAAGGTGAGGGAAGGGAAGTGGACCGGAGACCCATGCGATTCCGAAATGAAATGAATGAATGGATAAATGAATGAATGCATGGATGGATGATGACGAGATAGATCATGAATACGGCAGCGATGGAGCGTAAATGCTACGAGGCGACGGTTGGGAGGAGGTTGGGCAGTGGGCAGTGGGACGTTTCGGGAGGTCGCGCGGAGGACATTACCTACCGGTAGCTAGCTGGCTGGGCGTGTATGTGGGAGGTGTTTGTTTGGGTGGGTATGTTGGTTGGTTGGTTGTTCGTTCCATCACTTCTCCTTGTATTCCTATTCCACGGTAGGTGTTCGGTTTATTTGTCGATCTCGGTTACTCAGTTGTTAGTTACGGTAGTTGGCGCTCACCGACACTCGCTCGATCCCATCCTTCTGCTGTACACTCGACTCGGCTCGATCGGTCGCTCGTTCGCTCGGTCGCCTCGCTGTCGTCGACGAAACCGCCAGTGGAATTGCAGTGGAAGCGTCACTTCACTTCACTTCACCCGGCTCATTCTCCTCACTCTCGCGGATGGTACACATTTACACAACAAGGGGCGGGTGTGAAGCTGATAAGGTCGCGGGCCGCGGGTGGGGAATCCTGGACCGGTTAAGAAGCAGGAGACGGAGGCGGCATGTTGCGAGCGGTGTGGCACGCAGGTGTGTGTTCGATACGAGACGCTGTGTTGCGGTGTGGTGTGGTGTGGCGCAGGCGCGTGATTTTTATGAACGGAGATGAAGGTAAGAGCCCGGATTTGCCCAACCTGCCTGTCTGCCATTGCCGGCGGGGACAAGTAAGCAAGCAAGCACATTCCAGACTCCGCAAGTGGCAAGTGTTCCGCAGGCAGAGCAGGTGTACGAGTGTTCGAGCGAACGGACCCGGACATCTGGACACCCGTGGATACCCGTGAACCGGTACCAGAACCGTGCCATTACCGTACATCTGTGTGTTGTGGTTGTTACAGTGGGTTCCAGATGTCGATCCTGGATTAGAAGAGTACTGCGGCACGTGTATGTACGGGGGGTGGGTGCTTCGTTGACGGAAGCTGGCGCCGTTGCTCCGTCCTCGGGGCTGCTGGGCCAGCAGGAGCCGCCGTGGGTTGAAAGGAATGGTTGAGATGTGGCTGAGGCATGAGGCATTACATGTGTACGAGCCAAAATGGCTGGTAACATGCGTCCCCCCACAACGGTTATCCGTCAAGGGGCGCGCTGGCCGGACTGGGTATGTCGTACAGCTGCATTTCCGGTATAGGTTGCCAGACCAGCTGCTGCAGCATGACGAGGTGGCCGAGCGGTCTAAGGCGCTAGATTCAGGTCTACCTGGGAAACTCCAGGGGTACATTCTAGTCCGAAAGGGCGTGGGTTCAAATCCCATCCTCGTCAAGCTTTTGCACGCGGATGTCACACCGTATTCAAGCTATTGAAGGCCCATGGGTCAGCAATCCAGACTTGCGAATTGACAGTGATTGGAAGAGCAGCCAATGTGTCTTCATTTGTGATGGCTGTTCCGGCATAACGCCTGCCTGGATCGGCGTAACTGACGCGTTTAAGTTGAAGAAGCGAACGCACGCCCAGTGTCCCAATACATGTCTGGCCCTTTCCACATAACGTTGCGACCAGTTACTAACCACGTACTTTCAGGGCCATGTACCCTGTGCTTATTCATACCGGTAGTCGTCTTTCAGCTCGTTTGTTACAGCAAGCTTCATTTTGTCGTTGGATCACGAGTCTGTCTAAGACATGGTCGCAAGAAGGCATGTCTCAAACCTTCCAGAAGATCACCTCGCAAAGGGGCGACTATGTCGCGCGCCAGGTCGGAGATGAGCTCGTGGACTTCAGCGTTGGCCAGGTAGACTGGTTCCCGAAAGCACGGGTCCCACAACATCGGTTGCTCTGTTCAACAATCTATTGGTATTGATGTGCTCAGCCGAGCCCGACAATGCTGCCGCTGCAAGCGTTGGTTGCTGCAACCTCACATCGGCTGGCTTCACCTGACGCCGAGCTACTTTTGCAGTAAGAAGAAGTGTGATATGCTGACATAAAAGGATCCTGCCATGTATATCCGTTCCAGTGGCTCAGCGCGCTTTTCATATCACAACCCTAGTTTGCCCTACCGGTGGTTGGTAGGCTTTTTTCGACGCCTGAATTTTAGGTTTGGCCTATGCAATGTGAGCACCGGGGATTTTCTATTCCAATACAAGGAAGGAACATTTAAGTTTGAATGCTCTTGCTGGTTCGGCGCGCTAGGAGCGGGCTGTCGTACGGCGTGCGTTGAGAGCACGGCGTGCGTTGAGAGCATCGCCCCCCTCTCCGCCGCCCTACTCCGTCGCCGCATCGTGTGCGCAAGCAAAGCGGACGCTTCAAATTCTCCTCTTTTTGCTTTTTCTTGCACGGATTTCGGTTTACCCACCTCCCCAACTTCCACGTGGCGGCAGGTACGGCCCGCGGCAAGGCTACCGATCCTTCCGTCAGAGCCTGTCAACCTTCCTATCGGCACGGTACGGAACTGCCGTACATCCGGACCACTTAATGGTCACGGCAGGTATGTGCGCCGGGGGGTTGGGGAATGGGGTTCGTTGGTTCGTTGGTCAGTTGGTTGATTGGTTGTGGCGCATGGTTGTGGTTGTTGCAGTGGGTTCCAGCTTCGGGACGAGTACCGTAAAGCCAACGGGGAACGGGCCATTGCTGAAGAGCCAGTTCGAATGCCCCGTGCTTTGCGGTCGCCTGGCCAAGCGCCCACGAAGCAAGCAAGGGAGCACAGGTCTCGAATCCGGGTCTGGATCCGGATCCAAATCCAGATGAGGGTCCGTCGGCGTCCTAAGGTGTCAAAACTTGCTGCGCTTCCCGCCGCTACATGGCGGTACCTCCCACGCTCGCAGGCGTGTCTCATGGACTGGGGCTGGCGGTTGGGCGGCTCGCCCGCCCCGGCGACCTAATCGTGGTGGAGTGCCCCACCTACTTCCTGGTGACGCCCATCTTCCGGGACAACCACCTGACCGTTGTGCCCATGCCAACCGACGAGTACGGCATGGTCGTTGAGGAGCTGGAGAGGTGGTTGCGGCAGGACCCGTCGCACCGGTGGGGCCATAAGTTTTGTATCACAGGCATAGGTTGGTTAGTTGGGATTCGGTTGGGGTTGGGAAAGATTCGGTATTTCGGTTTATTGGCGCATTTTGCCGCGTGTGTGTGTGTGTGTCGGCGCCACCTCTGCCCTGCTGCCCAGGTTCGATGTCCTGACGCTGTCGGCGCGGCTGACATGCGGCCAGCGGACTGCGCACCCTAACCACCCCAACCAATTAACCATCCAACGGTCTTGCCCCCAACCGACATCATACTATGTCGGCCTCCCCTTTCCCCCTCCCTCCTCCCTCCTCCCTCAGACCCCGCCTCGTCTACACCATCCCCATCCACAACAACCCCCGCGGCGCCACCCTGCCCCCCGATCGCCGCCGTACACTGATGCGATTGGCGGCAGAGTACGACTTTGTCGTACTGGCAGACGAGGTGTACCAGGTGGGCGGGGGTGGGTGGGGAGCGGGGGGGCTGCGGCGAACAGAACTGGGAACAGAACTGGGAACAGAACTGGGGGCTGGCTGGGAGCTGCGAGCTGGGAGGACCCGGTGGAGCGATACCTTAAATGGAAGAAAATAGATAACGAGGGATAGAGGGCAGTACAGTCCGATTCAAACAGCCCCGAGGGATGGTGCATGATCTTCATTTGTGATGGCTGTTCCGGCATAACGCCTGCCTGGATCGGCGTAACTGACGCGTTTAAGTTGAAGAAGCGAACGCACGCCCAGTGTCCCAATACATGTCTGGCCCTTTCCACATAACGTTGCGACCAGTTACTAACCACGTACTTTCAGGGCCATGTACCCTGTGCTTATTCATACCGGTAGTCGTCTTTCAGCTCGTTTGTTACAGCAAGCTTCATTTTGTCGTTGGATCACGAGTCTGTCTAAGACATGGTCGCAAGAAGGCATGTCTCAAACCTTCCAGAAGATCACCTCGCAAAGGGGCGACTATGTCGCGCGCCAGGTCGGAGATGAGCTCGTGGACTTCAGCGTTGGCCAGGTAGACTGGTTCCCGAAAGCACGGGTCCCACAACATCGGTTGCTCTGTTCAACAATCTATTGGTATTGATGTGCTCAGCCGAGCCCGACAATGCTGCCGCTGCAAGCGTTGGTTGCTGCAACCTCACATCGGCTGGCTTCACCTGACGCCGAGCTACTTTTGCAGTAAGAAGAAGTGTGATATGCTGACATAAAAGGATCCTGCCATGTATATCCGTTCCAGTGGCTCAGCGCGCTTTTCATATCACAACCCTAGTTTGCCCTACCGGTGGTTGGTAGGCTTTTTTCGACGCCTGAATTTTAGGTTTGGCCTATGCAATGTGAGCACCGGGGATTTTCTATTCCAATACAAGGAAGGAACATTTAAGTTTGAATGCTCTTGCTGGTTCGGCGCGCTAGGAGCGGGCTGTCGTACGGCGTGCGTTGAGAGCACGGCGTGCGTTGAGAGCATCGCCCCCCTCTCCGCCGCCCTACTCCGTCGCCGCATCGTGTGCGCAAGCAAAGCGGACGCTTCAAATTCTCCTCTTTTTGCTTTTTCTTGCACGGATTTCGGTTTACCCACCTCCCCAACTTCCACGTGGCGGCAGGTACGGCCCGCGGCAAGGCTACCGATCCTTCCGTCAGAGCCTGTCAACCTTCCTATCGGCACGGTACGGAACTGCCGTACATCCGGACCACTTAATGGTCACGGCAGGTATGTGCGCCGGGGGGTTGGGGAATGGGGTTCGTTGGTTCGTTGGTCAGTTGGTTGATTGGTTGTGGCGCATGGTTGTGGTTGTTGCAGTGGGTTCCAGCTTCGGGACGAGTACCGTAAAGCCAACGGGGAACGGGCCATTGCTGAAGAGCCAGTTCGAATGCCCCGTGCTTTGCGGTCGCCTGGCCAAGCGCCCACGAAGCAAGCAAGGGAGCACAGGTCTCGAATCCGGGTCTGGATCCGGATCCAAATCCAGATGAGGGTCCGTCGGCGTCCTAAGGTGTCAAAACTTGCTGCGCTTCCCGCCGCTACATGGCGGTACCTCCCACGCTCGCAGGCGTGTCTCATGGACTGGGGCTGGCGGTTGGGCGGCTCGCCCGCCCCGGCGACCTAATCGTGGTGGAGTGCCCCACCTACTTCCTGGTGACGCCCATCTTCCGGGACAACCACCTGACCGTTGTGCCCATGCCAACCGACGAGTACGGCATGGTCGTTGAGGAGCTGGAGAGGTGGTTGCGGCAGGACCCGTCGCACCGGTGGGGCCATAAGTTTTGTATCACAGGCATAGGTTGGTTAGTTGGGATTCGGTTGGGGTTGGGAAAGATTCGGTATTTCGGTTTATTGGCGCATTTTGCCGCGTGTGTGTGTGTGTGTCGGCGCCACCTCTGCCCTGCTGCCCAGGTTCGATGTCCTGACGCTGTCGGCGCGGCTGACATGCGGCCAGCGGACTGCGCACCCTAACCACCCCAACCAATTAACCATCCAACGGTCTTGCCCCCAACCGACATCATACTATGTCGGCCTCCCCTTTCCCCCTCCCTCCTCCCTCCTCCCTCAGACCCCGCCTCGTCTACACCATCCCCATCCACAACAACCCCCGCGGCGCCACCCTGCCCCCCGATCGCCGCCGTACACTGATGCGATTGGCGGCAGAGTACGACTTTGTCGTACTGGCAGACGAGGTGTACCAGGTGGGCGGGGGTGGGTGGGGAGCGGGGGGGCTGCGGCGAACAGAACTGGGAACAGAACTGGGAACAGAACTGGGGGCTGGCTGGGAGCTGCGAGCTGGGAGGACCCGGTGGAGCGATACCTTAAATGGAAGAAAATAGATAACGAGGGATAGAGGGCAGTACAGTCCGATTCAAACAGCCCCGAGGGATGGTGCATGGCACACCGACGGGCTGTGTGGATGAGCCACATCCCATGTGCCGTACATAAGATCACAGCCCAGAAACAAACCCAGATCAACGTACCGTAATAGAAAGGCTGGAGGGCCACCCCTGCCCTGCCCGCCCCTGCCCTGCCCCGCCCCCTCTCGATCCGCGGCTCAAAGCCTCCCCCGCCCCCCTCTGTTCCCGCACAGCTCATGACCTTCCCTGGACACGACCACCCAAGCCAAGGCAACGGTGGCGGCGCCGGCGGCCCCGACGGCGCGGCGGCGGACGGTTCCGACGACAAGAAGGTACGGACTGCCGTACCAGCGCATGCGGAGGCCGGATGCAGCGGCGCCGGCGCAGCAGCGGCAGCAGCGGCAGCCGGCGAGTCGTCGCCCTACACTGCCGGCGGAGAGCGGAGGACGGACGACGGGCCGCCGGCGAGTGGGGTGGTGGCAGCGG